ACTCGAACACGTATCGGTGCCAGCGCGATCCCATGTCGCAGGGCGCCGTCTTCTGGCCCACGTCGAACATGCCGGGCCGCGCGTTGGCGCGGTCGCGGTAGTACGAGCGCAGCAGCGTGGGCGTCAGCCTCATCTGATCGCGGATCCAATTGCCGTAGTTGGTGCCGTAGACCTCCGTCACGCGCGCGAGCGTGGCCAGGTTGGCGCCGAAGGTGGCCTGCTGGTGGAGGCGCGCGGCGAGGTGGAGCGCAGTCATGTTGCGGAGCTCCTCGGGCACGACCACCGACACGACGTTGTAGTCCACGTCCGTTTGCATCGTACACTGGTTGTCGTCGTTGCATTGGATATCGACGGGCTGGCGGTCGAGGTCGGGCACGGCCTCCCACGGGTTGCCGCCGTAGCTGCGCGCGAGGATGACCGGCTGGCCGTTCTTGCGGTACGCGCCGTCCTTCTGGGCCACGAGCATCTCGTGCTTGCCGCTCTGGGGCAGGTAGGCTGAGATCCCACACACCACCACAACACACCCACAACACACCCACCCCCAGAGGGGCACCGTCGACGAATGGGAAAGAAGACGACAAAATGAAATCATTAATGAAATGAAATGAAATTGAGAACCGACCAATGAACCACCACCACCACCACAACCACCATCATAGGGACATACCATTATCGCTGGGAAGCGTCAGGAGGACGCCGAGAAGGACGGCCGTGAGGACCACCGCGGCGGCGGCGGCGGCTGCGACGGAGGCAATCACCACAAGCTTTCCGGTGCGCGTCGTGAGGATGACCGGCAGCTCCATGGCGTGGAGTCGTAGTAGAAGGCCTTAAGTTCTTCTTGTGTGGCTGGGCGCTTGTGGTGGTAGTGTTGTTTCGCGAAGGAACAATAACAACTAACTCCTTCTTGCCCAAGCCCTCCTTTTATTGTTGCTGCAGGATAGCAACTTATGCGATGTTGGCTCGCTGCTACGATCCTGACCAACGACCGACGCAGGCCAATTGGTCTGTCGTGTCTTCTTCCCGGTTGGTGGTCTTGTCCAATGGCACGCTCGACACAGATATTTGTGGATGTGAAAGTTGTAGCGCTGCGGCCATTGGCCAAGAAATAGCTCCGTTTTGCCTCCTGAGACTCAATAAGGGTATCAACACTCATGATCAGATCGACACTGTCATTGCTTCCAAGGGAGCAGCCAGTGGCCTCACCACGCTTGATGCCAATGGCAATGTACCCCTGTCACAGCTTGGCTACATGTCCGCACCAACAACCAAAGGGTCCATCTTGGTAGGGAATGGGATGACAGTGACAGCACAGGCAGTGGGTAGCAACAATGTGTCTCTCATTGCTGACTCTACACAGGCCAATGGAGTTCATTGGGATAATGTGGATCACACTACACTCAAGAACATCAGTACCAACACACATGCCCAGATTGACACCTTCATCACCTCCAAGAACATGCCCAATGGGCTTAGCTTTGGGCAGGTTCCCAATGAAATCCTCACCCCCATTGGTTCCTTTCCCAGCATGGGACCTTGGATTGGACACACTGATCCCAACCCAGATTCAACACACACACTCAGGGTGTACTAACATCACCAATGGATACACCAGGCCAGCCTCAGGTACAACAAAGAGCATGGCAGCCATCAATCATCATTTGTTTCATCCAAGGGCCAAGCAAACAGTCTGTGTCCACTGGATGGCAGCAGACTGATACCTGCCACCAGCATGCCCAACTTCAAGAGTACCAGAGACTACACATACTCAGTGTCACTGGGAGCTGCTGCATTGAATGGGCTGGCAGAGCAAACAGCCAGAACAACTTTGCCCTCAGCACCATCACAGGATACAGCTTCACAAATGGAAGCAACAACTTCTTCCTTGGTGCCTCCACTGACATTCCCAGCAGCACAACAGATGCAAATTGGCACATAGCATTCAGGCCTGGGACCCAGATGCCCCACTGGTTGGCAGATGGCAACACAATCAGTTCAGGGGCGTCAGCCAGTGTGGTGAGCCTCTTGATGAGCCCAGCAAGCTTGATCCAATTGCCATGGCCTTGCACCAAAATCTGGGCACCCTCAGCCAGATTGGCAATGGTGTCACCCTTGCACAACATGATCTTCACCATCTTGTGGATGGCACTGGATGCATGGTCAGGATTCATGAGATCCAGCAATCAGATGGTGTCCTTGGTCACAGAGGATGGAGTGTGACACAGTGATCATGGACATGCTGACCCCCAACAGTGAGGAGGTCAATGCATGTGAATGGGTTGAAGCTGATGAAGCTGTCACACAATTGCCAGTGATGTCAATTGACCAGTGGTGCCAAACAGTGCCAGGGTGGTGGTCTGGACAGAGAAAGCACTTCACATCAATTCTAGCAGCTCAGTCAAAGTCACCTACACCAACACACAGCTCTATGTTACCCTGAAGGGGGAACACCCAGCACTGTGTGATGGGACACTCATCAATGAAGACACATGCAGCACCCTGCTTATGTGGTTTGATGGTAAATTCTGGCCCATTTACAATGCACACAACAAAATCAAGGATGAACACGGGAGTAATTCAATACAGAACTGGCTCAACTCATCCACACTGGATGACTGGAGCACTGTGGCAATTCAGTTGCCATCACATTACTGGCAGAAATTGTGTTGTCTGATGAGGTGAGCTACAAGCCTAACAACCCCATGGAACAATAAAAGGGACTGCACATCATTCCTTTTTGTCACACTCACCACAATGGAGTGCCTGCCAACTGAGATGTGGCTTCATGTCCTGTCATTCACAACACCCAAGGACCTCATCTGGACCCATCTGGACCAACAACATCCACAGTGGCAGGCTGTTGTTGGGGGCATGGGCTTCAACATCAAAAAAACAGTTTGGGGAAGAGGAAGCACCCAGGAGAGGGACCAACACATAAACAAGACTCAGACAACGTTGGTTCCTGGAACTGACAGCTCCCAGCCAATGGAGCATAGAAGCCCAAGCTTGCCCTTTGGCAAATCAGAACCCAGACAAAGGTCCCTACCAAGAGCCCATATTTCACTTCAGCAGCACTATCACCCCTGCAGAAAGTGAAAAAAAGAAACTAATTGGCCCAACAGTGAAAATGAGCCAAGTCTAGGGGAGCTTCCTGGCCCTACCTTCATACATGCCCTTGCTCTGATCTCATCATCTCTTCACCTCCCTCTGCCTCAGTGCCATCATCACACAGGAGGTGGACTCATCTATTCTTGTCACAGCGCTCCAGCACTTGACAAACTGCATGACCTGCTCTGGTACATTGCGTCAGACATGGCACAGGACATGCGCTCTTTGCCCAGAACCTATGGTCATGAGTAACTTGGTTGCTGTGCATTGAGAGGGTGTCTCACCATGAGCTCTCCCAATAGCAGGTGGTGCACCTGGTCTCATGTCCAACGTGGTTGGCCACTATGAGCTACCAGAAACACCTGCGCTTGGTTTGGCAGGGTCCAAGCCATCAGCTGATGCACGTGTCACCTGCCTGATTCTGACAGTGTGCGCCGTCATCAGGGTGTGGGTGCATTGCCAACCTAGGTGAACTTGCTGAGCAGGGACCGGTCCAAAAAAAGGGGGGGTGTTGTACAAAGGGTATTTTATTGTGCCAGGTAAACAGTTCTTCCTCGTGCGGTTTTTACACCCTTGTGTTGAGGAAGGCGCACTGGCTGACCTGGATGGGCGAGCTTTTGACCTGGAAGGAGGTGGGGCTTTCGATGGAGAGGTAGTGGGCCTTACCCTTCCTGCCCACAACGTGGGTGTAGGCGTCCCAGCCGCGCACATCGGGCTTGCCCTTGGCAGCGAAGGCGGACCAGAAGCCCTGGAGCTTGGAAACGAGGGGCATACTGGCAGGGGTGGTCTGCGGGGTGAAGAAGTTGCAGTAGGGCGTGGGGGCGTTGAGGACGCAGCCCTGCTGGGTGAGGTAGACGACGTCCTCGTTGTGCCAGGCGCCGTAGTGGTTGGGGAACCAGTCGGCCTCGTAGGTCCAGTGGTAGAGGTAGGCGCGCTTGTGGCCGCGGTCGCCCATGGCCTCGAGCCATTGGATGGTGGGGCAGGTGTAGTACCAGTCGGTATCGA